TCCCAAAGGAGAACCACACTGGAACCTGCCATTAAAATTATATTTGTGCTTTCCAGTTTTGCTGTTAATCTGGGGGTTTTTACCTCTGCTACCGATGTTCCTCTAGAGCTTGGTAAGATGCAGTTACATGGGTATTCATTTTTACCTGTCTCACTGCTGAAGACAATGCTGGGAATCTTGCAGACATCTGTAGAAAGTGGATTGTTAGCCAGTTACACATGTCAAAAAATGAGATAGGAATATTTTTCATACGTATCAAATGCTGTGTTAGAGGTGGAGTTTGCCAGGGTGGTGTTGATGTAGAACATACCAGCCTGCCATGAGACTGTTATGTAGGGGAAACAGGAAGGGAGAAACAGGAAGGGAGCAGAATGTGAAATTCCTGAGGGAAGTAAAAATGGCGCATTTCAGTCTGATTTCAAACCTATTGTTTACTAATTAAGTATTTTTTTTCCTCAAACAAAAAGCTCTGCAATTAAAGGGAGTGAACAATTTCTTACAGGTAAACCTGGTGTTGGTAGGGCTTGATTTGAAGGATTGGGCTGATGCCTTCCAATGTAACTTGTGGGTATAGAGCTCTGTGGAAAGGACAAGAATGTTTGTGGGTCAGGTGAACAAATGAACACTGGCTGCTTGTAGCCAAGGTAAGGAGGAGGAGATGGAGAAGGAAAATAGAGATGGATGATAGAGGAGTAAATAGTGGTGGATGATAGAAGGAGTAAATGATATGCTTTTAATATGGCTTGGATCTCTATGGGAAATGAGATTACATGGTTATATAGTATTTTCATAGTGAGGACCTGAATTTAAAGTCAGTAATGTACCAGGGTATGGGCAATCCTTTTGGTTATGTAGCATCATCACAGTGGGTGTCTGTCCCGCATGAGGTATTCAAGGCAGTATGAGGAAAGAACCACAGAATAGGAATAATAATTTACATTTTTTGGTAAGGTAGAAACAGATGAGGAAATGCAAAGAAAATAAGATCAGGTTTACCTGTGTTGTTTAGATTTAGTAACCTGGTGTGTAGCTCATGTGGCACATCTGCTCTGGCCCTCAGCTGTTTCTGTGCAAGGCTGTGTAGACACATTTAGTGTAGAGTAAGTGCCCAATGTGATTTTGTTGTGTGTTGTGTAGCATTTGATAGAAATCATGCAAAGATTATTTAAGGAACCAGGAGGCAGGCTTTTTTTAGAAGCTTATATAGTGACTATATAAAAGCATTTATTCCCTGAAGAATAGGTGAATTTCTTATGTTGTATCAGGACATGTAATTTCTTTGGTTTAAAAAGTAGCTATTTCACTGAGTTACAGAGTTTCCATCTCTCCCTATATTACAGCTCTACAGCCCAACCCTCATCTTCTGAGATTTGTAAGTCATGTCTAAATCTCTGACCACCCATCACTCCTGAACTAATGAATTCATGAGTTGTGCTTGTCCTGAGATATAAAGTGAACTTGTTACACTTTAACATTGAAAGTAACTGCTCTCTTAACTGGTGGCAAGCCTGTTCTTCCTATTTCTACCCTGTGGTCATCCCTATTTTTCCCATTAGGGCTCTTGGTGTTGTTTCTCTGTTGAAGGCTTTTCAAATGAGCATTAGGAAATGTGAAGAATCACATTGTCTTGTCTGTGGTGGAGCTGTGTTCAGTGACATGAATGTTTTGACCCTGAAGAACTGTAATTGTAATACATATAGTGCAGTTCATTGGGAGATATTACATGATTTTTTATGGGTAGAGTGGGTGTCTTTCTTTTTACTTCATGGTTGAGGACTGATTGGGTGAGTGAACTGAGATGCTGAAGATTTTGTGAAGCCACAATGCACAGCAGAGCTGAAGCAGAGGTCTACTTAATTTCTCCAGATGTCACAATATCCTCCTTAATAGTCTGAATACAGACTGTGCGGAATTCAAACAGTTATATCTGTGACTGATGTAAAGCTCCTCCTGCCCCAAATGAGGATCTTTGTGGACAAAATTACTTTTATTTCTTCCCTTTGTTATTCTAACAAAGGAGGCATCAGTTGCTACTGTCTTGAGAGCTACTGTCTTGATAAATAAAACTTCATGTAATAAATTCTCTCATACAAGTTATAGGAGTTACAGAGGAATATCCATGGATATACTTTGGAACCTCTGGATTTCAGTTTGCTACCTGCTAAACTCCAAAGTTTTTATGGAATATCAGATGGGTATAGCTTGTTAAGCAGTGTCTTGCACTGTGTTTGCTTCTATAGAGACCCTTGGGAAGTAAAATACCACGTAGGGTGTGTTAGATTATCAGAAATTAAATCCAAAGTATCTACTTTCTTAGAGATACAGAAAAATATAGATATAGGATATCTTACAGATAAAGGAAATATTAGGAGCCAAAATGATGATAAACTCTATCAATTTTAATGGATGGGTTATAAAGCTCTAATTTATTGGTGTTACATTATCAAAACTATTTTCACATTAAAATTTGAATTAGTTCCATTATAGACTTAGGTAATTTTAAATTGTGCAATACAATTGCCCTCCAGTTATCTAGAAGTTAGGGTTTTTTAAAAGAAAGCTTTATTTACAGATAAAGCAATGTATATTAGGTGAGGGCATGGATCTAATTAAAATTTTGCTATAGTGACATTTTTCTGTATTTCCTTCCATTGAGTATGTGAATGGCTTGAGTGTGTATCTCATCTAATGCAAAGGAGGTAAAAAAAATTGTTCATCTTGGTAGATTTATATTATTTTAATTTAAGCTTCAGTTCCATTACTTTTTGATTAAACATACTTATGTCTGATGCTATCCATCTTTTATCACTATGAAATCTGTTCCCAAGCAGAAAGAAGGATGGCATCTGAATTATGCAGAAATCATTTTCTATCTATTTTTCTTCAAATGCTGGGCAGTCTTTTTCATAATCCCACCAATATTGCATGTGGCTTGTTCTAATCCTCTGCCTATTTCTGAATATTCAACTATCAAACCTTGGTCTTCTGCTGTTTGTTTTTAGGGCAATGTATTGTCATGGATGTCATTTGCTTCAGCTGTAGCTCAAACTCCCAATTCAAGTGTGAAGAACACTGAGTTATCCTTAGTTCTGAAAGGTTTGAGCTACAAGTTTTTAAAGTGGTGGTCTTGTAGTTCGTGCATTTCTAAGTATAACTTTGAAAAATAAAACCAGAAATAACTATACTCTGTTGATTGAATTAGCAAAAATTTTATCAAACAGCATAGATCACAAATCAGTCACAAGTTACATAGTTAACTACCATAAATAAGATTTCATTCATAGTTATGCACTGACCTCTTGGGGTACGTGGTTCATTTGTGTTACTGTTTAAATCTTGTGAACCCCATAAATGTAACTGGACACACTCAATGAGAAATGTACTTCTTGGGTTTGATGGACTGACATACACAGTCTTCTGCAGTAAGCCAGGTGAAATTTCACTGTTAAGTAGGGGTGATCATTACCTGCTTTCCTGATGAGCAAAAGCTGTTGACCACTGTTGGATACAACTCACTGAATTATAGTTGCAGGTGTTTCTTGTGTCCTTAAAGCAAGCATCTCCTTTCTGTGTAAGTAACCCAGGAAATATAAGGGGAAAAAGAAAGCAATACGACCTCAACAATAGTTGGAATAGTTGGCCTTTGATTTCTGGCTAGTTGGCAAAACAGTTTTCCTTTACAAAACCCAGTCAATCCTTTTTGGTTTCTGAGAAGGAAAGAGGACTGACAGATGTTTTCTGGTTACTAGTCTGTACTACCTGTGTGGGTTCAGACGCAGCACATAAACTCTGTGCTGTGTTCTTCTTGCTGTGCACCTGAACTGTAACTTCCTTGGTGGTAGCTTCCCTTGCTGTCCAGAAGCCAGTTCTTGTGGTATTTTGTGTGGAAGGGAGAGATCAGAGGGATGGGACATAGAAGAGTGGGCCACAATAATAGCAAGAGAAAGTAGACATAGAGGGAGGAGAGCTAAAATAGACAATGAAAAGAAAAGTGAGAATGTGAGTTGCACTTTATTACATCGCTCACAGGAGCCATTGGTACTTAATGTGTCCTTCCATTCTTGTGTCGTTAAATCTGTGTCATCAGGGACAGATTTTGCACTTGGTATTACTTGTCCTGTTGTCCTGCATGTGTGCCAAGTTCTTCAACTTCCGTGTTATGTTACTGCTTGGTTTTTGTCACATTCCTCTGGGCTGTCTGGAAATCTGCCTCAGTGACTCAGAAAGAAATAAAAATATTTCCTTGTTTTGTAAGACCTACTGTCTTTGCGCCCTTTCACCTTGTTTCATTTTGTCTATGAAAGCAGCTATAGCTTGTTTCAGGACAGTAAATTTCTATATATCCATACAAACTAGGCAGTAGAACGCTGTATTGAAGGAATGAACAGTATAGAGGTAGAACAGAAATGTTAATTCATCATTGATGACATCTGAATGCACAACTGTACAATTTCTTTCAAATCCTCATGAACAATTTCAGTCATTAAGCCACATATATATTCTTATTTTTCTAGGGACACTTACTTTGTATCCTCTGGCCATGTTAATCCATCTTAATTTGGTTTTGACTATCTAGACTGTATGCAGGACTCATTGTTTCCAAAGTTCAAATTCTCTGTACTTCTCTGCTCATAATGTTATGCTTCTATATCCATGGTGTTTATTACAGCCTTGAAATTCTGCTTCTGGCAAAGATGACTTAAGATTAGGCTCTTTCAAATGGAAACTAAACTTGCTAGCTGTTTTTAATAATATGTAAAAATGAATGAATGGTTTTAAATGAACAGGAAATTATGTTGTATACTTAGTCTTGCATGTGTGGAACTCTAAACTGCTTGCAAATACTTGTAATGCTGATTTCCCATACTTTCTAAAATTAATCTTTTGAAATAAACATGCTTTTAATATAAATATTGGAAGGCAGGAAATAGAAGATTGCTACCTGAAAGGCATGCTCATAATGTATTTAATTACATGTTTGCTTGTGTTTCCAAACGTAGGTGTGCGCCTAGACCGAGTACGTGGGGGTCGCCAGAAGTACAAGCGCAGAATAGATGCAGAGAACAGCCCATACCTGAACCCTCAGCTAGTTCAGCCAGCAAAAAAGCCATGTGAGTACACCACATGCACAGCATTTCTCTCTCAGTACAGGCTATTGACTCCTAGCCCTGTTTGCTAAGCTCCTTCTGGGTTGAACAAGGGTTTGGTCAGAAAATATTACCATGAAGACTATATCGATTTGACTGTTAACAGGTTTTGTTTTAAATATGCTCATCTTTCTCAAGTGGAGTTGAACAAAGAGTGTTTTTACAGGTGGAAGTGTATAAAAGCATGGTTTATGCAGTGCAAATTTTACATTTACAGGTTATCTTTATTTTCAGTGGTACATAAAATGGTTCATACTGTGATCATTAGCTCATTGAAGCTTCTACTTTCAGATTTCACAAGAAAGTGATTTTTGTAGTTTTCACTAACTAAATGAGTTTGACTGCTCAACCTCCCAATGAAAATACATTAAGAGCCTCATTAATTTATACCTATAGATTAATGCACTACCTAGCATTAGATTAAAACAGCAATATGCCACACTAATAACAAAGCAGAAAGTGGTAGTTTGGGCTCTAGTACCCTCATGGATTTTTTTTTTTTTTGCTTTGTTTTGTTATGTTTTAATAATGTCCTTGATTGTATCTCTCCAGGCTGAAATTAAGAGAGAAAGAGATGATCATCTCGCTGCTAAAATACAAGTTCCATCCTCTTTGCGATTAACTAAAAATAGTTAGGGGTTTTGCTTTGCAGCTTATATAAACTCAAGCAGTGACTGTACTAATTCCATGAAGTAAATTTAATAGCATTATAGCTGTAGTGCAAGAGGCTGATGTATTACCCTGCAAAGACACACAGGCTCTGTATCAGGTGTTGTAAACTCTTCCAAATTCAAATGGGAATACACATATCCAGTTGCTCCTGCTGAGGAGGTTAATTTGCTCCTAACATGGATAAATAAGCCAGTGAAATAAAGAGGGCAAATTCCTTCTTGTCTCCCATTTGCCTCTGCCTCTAAGCCTCTGACAACACACATGTCAGGTTTTAGCCCCTTGAAAATACCTGGCTGGATGGAAAATGGAATCTGTTTCTGATGGTGTTCCCCAGTAGGGGACAGTGCTGTGTACAATACGTTTGAGCATATGGGGATCTGGAGAGCAAATAAACAGTCTTTGAACTGTAAGTGAAAGGGCATTTTAGCTGTGTCAAAGAAAAAACAGCCAGTTTTACATAAAATTAAGGCTTAAGTGAACATATGGCATAGTTTCCTTTTGCCTTTCCAAAAAACATTATGCTGATTATATTCCTTCAATTGTCCAATCTGGCATCTTCTACTCAGCCTCCATAAGCTGTCCCACTGTTCTGTAAATACAATCTAGGGCTGTGCTAAGCAGATTTTGCACATTATAATAAAAACTTTCTGATAATACAATAAAATTTAATAAACTCTAATGCTTAATTTCATTAGAGGTTTAGTTTTCCTGGGTGCACAGATTGTCAGTTTTTCATTTACTTGATATTGTCATTGAGTAGAAATGTTGATAGCCTGACATACCAAAAAAAGCCAAGACCAAACAGACAAAAAAAACAATCCAACCCAAAAGCCCCAAGCCCTTAAGATATGAGCAGAGGTTAATGCAGTTGTACTGAAATACAAGAATCTCTGTGTAAACCCAAGATTATTGCAACGTGGTGCATTATTACATTACCTATAAGGCTATAACTGCACCAATTTCTGTAAGCTCCAGTTGTCTGAGATAAACTAACCTTCTCATTAATCATTACTCATTATCTGAGTGCCTCCCTCCATTTTTCTTAGCTTGTCCAACTATAAATAATTTTGTCATAAACATTTTTAAAACTTAATTTTCGAATCCTGCCAGATAAGTGTCCAGACTTGAAACAGTTGAATTGGTTTTGTGTGGAAGTAGCCTGGGAGATTTTCTGGACCCTGACTGATAGTTTGTGTGTAACAAAGGCACAGGAATGAAAATTGGGTTCTATTGATTCTAATTAGGGAAACATTAAATAAGATTTACCTTGAAACAGTGCTCATGGCTATTCAATTTCCTGAGTGATGGAGTTTTCTGAGTACATTCAGAATTTTTCTATGTTCTGTGCTAATGCATGTGCCAATACATGTAGCTTTTTCCCCCTGTAAGGAAAGAGCAGGTGTTTGGAGGATCTTTTCTACACCTACTTCTGATCTCTGTTGTATTTTCTAGCTTCACCATAGAATTTAATGGCATAGATTTCATTGACTGCAGAAATAAAAAGGATTTGAGATTTTGCAAATCCTGAGTCAAAATAGTCAATATTCCTAAATCATCTATGGAATTCCATTGGTGAGGAGCCTCATATGCAAATGAAAGTTTTTCTTTGGCCATTTCTTCTGTTGCAGGGGAAAAAAACCCCAGAACTTGGGGATGAGAGTGCTTCTTCATTCATTTATCATGGTTTAAAAAGCCAAAAAGTAGAAGTCCTCAGCTGCATATTTTTGGATGTTAAGAAACTCTTTATTAATTTATTCTATTTTCCTAATCCGTTAAAAATAATGGAATTTGGAAAGAAGTAATGCTGTCTTTTCTGACTTATGTGTTTTCCGTGTGAAAGTGAACAGGTTATAAAGAGACTGTTAAAAAAACAAAAACTGCAAAGGCTGTTTGCCAATATAAGTTTAAACTACCATCTGTCATTTGTAAATAAGAATAGAATTCCTCATTAATCAGTTTGATAATCAGTCAACTGTTGAGATCAAAAATTGCATCAGTTGGCATAGTTCCTACAGTTCATATAAAGCATGAATATGTCCCCTTGTAATAAAACAAGCTTGATGTGATGGTTTCCAGTTGGCTCTTGCACTTACTATATGAAGGACTAACATATATCACAACTTCTGACACACAAATTTGGAATAAGGCAAAAATTGTAGCTACAGTAGATCAGAGTCAAGGAGTCTCTGTCACTAAAGAGCAGTAAAGTATCAAGAATCTGAATCAAGTGAGCATTTTATGGAAAAATGTCATGGACTAGTAGGGATCCTTTCTGACACTGATGCCTTAGGTTTTAGCTTTTATATTTCTCAGATTCTTTACTGCTTTAGTGTGTAGTTCTGAGCTTCATATTAAAGGAGAGTGAGCTCTCTTCACAGACTGGGTAGACAAAACAATTCCTTTTCTAGCTTGGGACCAAGGTCAACTGATCCAAATTTCAGGCCCAAGAGCATTAAGAAGAGAGAAAAACAAGGATGAGACTTCATAACCTAAAGCTATAATTGGACAATTAACTCCAATATACTTACGGACTAGATCTTATAAAAGTGTGAGGCCTCAGGACAGGTCAACCATTTTGGGTCTATCTTGGGTGTAGCCCCGGCTGGGCTCTTATGCTGGCCAAGATCTATCCATTGAGGCCTTCTAATAAATGCCTACTTTATTCTTTAACTGCCTAGCCTGTGTTCTAGGTCAGCTTTGACAAGGCATCAGTGCTGCTGGGTGAGTCACATCCCAGTCAGCTTCCATTGCAGGAGAACAGTGTGGTCTGTCCTGTGACATACATGCAGATGGGGAAAATTATGCTCATTCTGGCAGCATTCTCTGCACTCAGAAAATACTTGGTGTCTTCTCACAGTGGAATCCCATTTATATCAAGCCTTATAATGTTTTATCTCTCTGAAGGGAACAGATTCATGTAAAATCACTAAAGGGTGTCATTTGGGCTTTAAATTCTGATGGTGCATTTGAGGTCAAAAGATGTACCTACCAGGAAAAGTAAAATGTAAATATATTGGGAAGTATAGTAATGTACCCTCTATTAGGAGGCTTAATGAATTAGTCCTTTTCCCATTTTTCAGTTCTGCCTTCTCATAGTAATAAATCAGGCCCCTGTATAGAGATAAAATATTTCTATTGTGCCTTCACATGGATATAGTGCTCATATTATGTTTATCCTACTTACAGAATAGCAACACTGTGTTGTAAATCTTGTGGGCTCTTCTCTTTTTTTCTTCTCTGCATTTTCCTATATAACTTAATTGATTATTCCAAATAGGTGTCACAAGTCAACTGAATAAAAAAGTAAATATTTAACATGTGAATAAAAATGCTATATAGATAAAAATAAGCAATGTGTGACTATGATAAAGTATCGTTCCATGCACAAAACCAGTTTTCTGAGGTAGAGTTTGCATACTTTCATACTTGCTTAGTTTTACACTCTTTTTTCTCTTTGATTTTAGTGTTTTTTCCTGTTTAGAAATGAGAAGCAGATGATTGGTCTGGGTTTGTAGGTAAAGAATGGTAGTTCAGGTCACTGACAGAAGTTACAGGTTTCAGTGATTGACTAATTGCATGTGGTATTTACTCACTCAAAAATACCCCTGCCTTTAAGGGGTAGGGTGAGTTGCAGGTAAAAAAATGAAGGCAAAATTTTTCTATTTGAACAGTAGAAAATGTCCTATAATGCATTAATCTTTTCCTATAAAGTTTGTACTCCGGTAATTAACAGGGATCATGTATTTCTATGTTCTATTGAATTTATTATTTAAGAACATACATGTCTGGCTTGGTAAACACTATTAATTGATCAGATTTGTTTGTACTGTAACCACTTGTAGGGGGTCATGAAGTTACAGTAAGGTGTAATTAAGTTCAGTGTCTCAAGACAAATTTTTGTGCACTTTGAAATCTGAGCCATCTGTTTGAAGTGTAGAATGATGCTGCTGGTGATCTTGTAATGTTCTGGACCATTTTTACAGATAACAAGATTGTCTCCCATTTGCTGGTGGCTGAACCAGAGAAGATCTATGCTATGCCTGACCCCACTGTTCCAGACAGTGACATCAAAGCACTTACCACTCTTTGTGACCTGGCAGACAGAGAACTGGTGGTGATCATTGGATGGGCTAAGCATATTCCAGGTACGTACAGTGTTTGTTGCAAATAGATAATGTACAGAAATCATCACGTGGCTTTTTCTGTGCTGGTAAAAAATACTACTTTTTTCTCTCCTTACAATGCATTAAGTTTTCCTAAGGGTCCAGAATATTCCCACAGAACACAGTTTAGATGGTCATGTATTTTACCTTGGAAGTAGTAGTGTTGTTGCTATGAGTGTTACTAATGTTAGTAAGTTTCACATGCTGCTTAGAGAATTTTTTTTCATGTATTGTTATTATTAAGATAAACTCCCTTTGCTATCCAGAGCATTAGCCTGGCATCAAGGGTCATACAAGTCCTCTCCTCTGTAGTCATCTGATTCAGCAGTATTTGAATATAAGGCTGGCTCCTCTGTTAGGTAAATGCAGCACTACTGACCACAGAAGGTGAAAAAATTCAGTTATATTTTGGCAAGGCACAGAGGAATTGTTCTTTTCATTGACTGATCTAGTGTGAGAACTAAACTGTACCAGCAATTCAGTACAAAGAACTGAATTGTCCCAGAAAATCTCCCCTTCCAACTTAGTAAGAGTTGGTCTGCATGGAATGGACTGCAGTCTGCATAACATAAATGCACTGATACTAGAAAAGCTGACTGGCAATCTTATTAGCAAGAAAAATGGGGGTCATCAAAAGCAGTTTCTCAGAAGATTAGCAATTCCTTCAGATAACATTTCAGGTGTATTTTTGCCCCTCCCCAGTGCTGAGGTGTTTGTTCTTGCTCGTGAGCTAGCAGACAAACTTACAGAAGTCTCCTGGGTTCTCAGTCTATCACCTTTCACAAAAGTCACACAAAAAAGGTCAGCTTTTTCTCTTGTTTCTTAAGGTATTTTTCTTGTCCAGCTGATGAGTGAGCATGTTGGTGTGTTTTCATCAGCTCATTAGTTTTCTAATTTTGATAGTGGAGCCTTATTAAGCATGAGAGTGGATAACCTTTCATTCCTGAGAGTAATAAGTCATTCTCATTTTAGATGCAATTTTGGGACAACTTAATAGTAGAATAAATAATCCAGTCAGTTGTTTGTTTATCAGAGTTAAAGGTATTTTATTTGTAGTTTCAAAAGAAACTGCAAAGAAATATTCTTGCTCTTTGTTTCTTTTTCTCTTGTTCTTACCAGTTCTTCTGGGTCATCTTAGATAAATATAAACATAATATATACACAGACACAATCAAAGAATAATAATAATTTGTACCTTTATGAAGTGCTGGTTTTTTTTTTTCTCTTCAGAGGAAGGACAACAGCCTAGAGACTCTAAAATAGTCAGTTGAAATTTAGTCATTCTCTGTGCCACAAACGGTGTATAAACAAGCTCTTGTATCACAAGCAATGTTTTTCTGGTACAGTTAACTTATTTCTGTCTCCTTAAACTAGTTTGTCTTTATGCTTTGAATGCTACAGTAATTTCTTTAATCAAATTGATGGAAGTCCCTTTCCCAGCCCACACTGAAACCAATTTATTGGTCATGATACGCCGGCTATGTTGCTAACAGTCGTAACGAACTGTCAGGCAATATCGCAGTGCAGCTAATTTGAAGTCATTAGGTGTGCAGCGTTCAGGCAACAATTTGTTACAGTGGTTAGGAACACAGCTGACATTTCTGAATGGCTTTGTTCAGAGCAGTTCTAGATGAGCCCAAGCAAATTGTAAACTAATTTAAACATCACTCTATATTATAGGAGCTACTTTGTCTTACACTGGTTGCTAATAAAGCACCCCAAATTAAGTCAGAATGAGTTAAGCAGGTGAGTTTGAGTTTCATCTTTGGAAGATACCTAGATCACCTTAACCAAAATAGAGTAGCTCTCAAAGAAGTCAGTCATGCTCCATAGCAGTTGCAGGGGAACTTTTGTCAGTCTGATTTGTGAATATGCTGTGTAGCTTGGATTTGGCTGGAGCAATGGGAATAGCAGAGGGATGAGACTGAGCAGCCTTTTAAATCATGGCTTTGGTTAGTGTGGAAAAGTGTGGATGCCATAAACTGGCCCTGAAAATTTAAAATCTGAGCCACTTGAGGAACTTACCGCAAGTGCATTTTAGTACAAGGCATTTTAGTACAAGGTAAGCTCAAGCCACACCTACAGTGGTTAAGCCACCTTAGGTAAGTGCACTTACCTGATTTCATTTACAAATGAGAGTTTTAAAAAAATCTCCAGGCAATAATAACAATCTTTTTATAAGCCTTCAGGTAACAGAGGACAGTGATAAAATCTGTGCTTGTTGTCTGGCATTTGGTCACAAAAATCAAAATGCTAAAGGACAAATACAATGAGCTTTTGTAGCTTGATTTTGAATGTTGGACAGATGAACTTGGACTGGCTATGCTCAGCTGATATCTGGCATGAAACAGTGTCTGGAAGAGCCTGCATTGGTGCTGCCTGTTTGCAAAACTAACAAATGTTACTGTAGTCAAAAGCATAACAGGATGGGGAAAAGGATGAATTAGGAAAGGGGTGCAAATTGCATAAAAGTTCACTGTAGCTTGGCAGACTAAGTAAACCCTTGGTGTAAATCTTGTAGAGTCGATTAATTACACCAGTAGTGAATTTGTGCCTAGCACAGCAAAGCAGCAATCAGCAAATCTTTCTTTACTATAGTGATTTCTTAAGGTTCAGTGTAATTAAAGGCCCTTATATATCAGGTGCTTAATAACTAATAAAGATCTCAACTCTAAAGCATTGCAATGTAAAATTTGTCTTCGTGGAGGAAGCCAAAGCAATGTTTTTGCTCTTGTGAAAAAAAGCCTTTTAATAGGATTATCTACAAAAATGTAACAATGCAATATTCATTCTGCCCCAGCCAACCGTTTCCCATTTCAGTCACAGACTAAAAAATGTTTTCAAATTATACAAAGTTCAAGTCCTTTCATAAAATCATTAGTATTTCTGTTGTATTGGAAATATTTCAATAGTTGCTTTTATTGAACAAAAAGTCTATACCTTATACAAAAGGAAATATTGAAAGAAAAATATATATGGAAAGCCTTTATCAGTAAATAGAATTAGTCTCCTTGCATTTATAAATCAAATAAATGGAAAGTGTGTTGTTATGAAACATGACCATGTCTTATCTGAAGAAGAAAAAGATCACAATGGCATTAGGAAATGCTTGACTTTAGTTAGAGAGGCGTAAGGGCACAAGAACAGATGATGGTGCCCTAATAGCCCTTTTTAAGAATGACAGGGCCCCGCCATTAGCATCCTTTTATATCCTTGGAAATTGCTCATGCCTCGCTTTTATGGTTCCTATCTGCCTGACTCTTTTTTATTTCTCTTTCAATTTCATCCGCGCTCGGATAAGCGCATGCTAACACAATATGATTGAGCTGTAAAATGGAACGCTGTCGCCTCTAATCTCTTTTATGTAGATATGGAGGTACTTCCACACTCCACTTCATTCTCTCTCCATTGTTGGCCTTTTTAGAATGTGTTGCCGAGTAATGGAGGCTCAGTCAAATATTAGAGCTAGGTTTCACAGGGTGTGATAAGAAGATTATCAGGCCAGCAGTCAGATCTATTGTTGTTCTTTGTGTCAGATTAAAATATTCTGATGTACTGTAACTTCGTTAGTAAAATACTGAAGGTGCTTAGGGAGGGAGGCTGATGCTGCTTCATCTCCTGCCTGATGAGACAAAACTCTTATTAACTGACCCAAATAAACTGTAAATATATTAGGAAGCCTCTGCTAGACATTTTATTTTATTTTTATTTTATTTTACTTTATTTTATTTTATTTTATTTTATTTTATTTTATTTTACATATCTATTTTTAAACTTTTATTTTAGCTATCTTTTTAAATAAGGAAACCTTTCTCAATTCAGTATTTTCTGGTAGTTGAGTTTCCCACCCTTCACATTGTATTTTGGGAATTTCCATTTCATTGGTTGCATTATATTAATTAGGCTTTTGCTGTATAGGGTAGTTTTCTGCTGATACCTACTCACAGTACCAGTATGGTTTAGGCTGGAATTTTGTAACCCTCTCATTGACATTCACCAAAATGTGCAACATTTTTTCATATTAAGTGGAGGCAGCAAACATTAAGCTCTTAAAAATGTGCATAACAGGAAGCTAAAGAAAAAATGTTGTCTACAAAATTTGCATGCATGAAAAAACATCAACCAGACCATAGAAATCAACTTTTTGCACTTAAGATGAAAAATTTGTTTGGAAACAGTAAATCAGACTAATACATCAAAAATAACTAGTTACATTATTTAGTAAAATAAGCCTGCTTGTCTTCAGCTGTTGTCCCTGTTTTCTTAGCAGGAACAGTGTTCAAGGAAGGGAATAGTTAGAAATTGATACTGCCACTGGTGCTAGTATTAAAAAAAAAAAGGCATGATTTTGATGTAACAAATACAAGGATGTTTTGAATATTTTAGTGTTAATGTTTTTCATGAAACATTTTTGTTCCAGCATACTCTTTGTGGAGGACAATATTTAAGCTTTCCTTTCCAAAGCAGCTCTCAGGGGTGTAGTTTGACATTATAATATTGAACAAGAACATGATTTGCTGCAGAGTTGTTGTTTCTAAAATACCCTTTTCTCACCATGTGTTTCAGAAATACCACCCCGTGTGTAGGTAAAAGCTGACCACAGTCACTTGTGTGGATTGTTGTTGGGGCAGCCCATAGAGAATCTCAGCTCTGCACGGGGGACAGGTCTTGCCTGTGCTTTATGTCTGAGCCGCGCTGCCTGCCGCTGTAAAATTTGTTTTTTGTGCTCAGCCTTCCCTAGTCCCTTGTGCTGCTAGCTGGATTTAGGGCCATTTCAGACACAGCCCTGCAGCTTCTGAGAGCACCCCATCACAGGGTGCCTGTCCTTCCACAGACAGCTGGGCATGTAAATGTGGTGCTTGCTGTTCATGTGACATGGAATGGAGGATGAGTTGTGAGGTGCTAAGAGGTTGGCAGGAATAATAACTTGAGCCTCCCGGGGAATCAGGACATCCTGCCCTTTCTCAAAGTGCTAACTGGGA